GGGGGGGGGGGGGGGGGGGGGGGGGGGGGGCGTACACGTGATCAGTACTGCCGTAGCGACTACACCAACCAACATCCACCAACAACAAACACAACATAAACATCGACAACCGACTCCATCATGAACAGCAGCACCACCAAAAACACTCACCGTCTTCTTCCTCCTCCCCCTCAGCCACCTCGGCCTCCTCAGCGACGAGGTGTCTCAAGAACATCTCCTTCCCGGAGGGCTTCTTGGCCACCTGTTCTTCCGCGATGGCCTTGCCCCCCCGCATCTCCAGCTCGAACGCCGTCTTGAAGTTTCGTCGTCGAAACCGCAAGCAACAAAAAAAAACGAAAGCGTAACACACGGGAGAGAAGGTCGTGATTTTGTGTGTGTGTGCGGGAGAAACGTGGGGCTTGAGGTTGGGACCCCACTACAGCAGTAGAGGTCACTGTTAAAGCGCCGGTATGCGCCTAGAAATTTCACCGGCACTTACGCCGGACCCGCACTATTCAAACTACAGTCGGCGGTCCTGAATAGCGGGATGCCCTCTATAGCGGCGCCGAAATCGCTTGGCACAAATGCATTTCTCAGTGCATTCCCTACTGGGAATGGCGGCACTGAACTCTATAGCGGCACCGAAATCGCTTGGCACAAAAGCATTTCTCAGTACATTCCCTACTGGGAATAGCGGCACTGCCCTCTATAAGCGGCACCAAAACCCTATTGAGGATCGCCGACTGTATAGACACTGACTTGGGAATTCAGTGTGTGCCCGCGGACAACACCGGCACGATACCGGGCAGCGGCAGTATTCAACCGGCACTACACAGAGGGAAGAGAGTGCTGAAATCTCCTCGCATTAAAAATCGAAGGCGAAGTACCGCAGGAGGGGAGGGTAGAGAGAAGCTCTTCTGTGTGACCACGGGTTGGAGTAAACGGCACTAGTGCTGTGAGCGCTGATTTGAAGTGAAGATTAAAAAAAAAAAAAAAAACAGGGACCTCTACACTAAACAGGGGCCTCTACTGCTGTATTGTATTGTACTGCTTCGAGTGTGTGCGACGGTGTTGTCGTGGTCGGTGACAGAGCAACCTCGTTCATAAAAGGTAACAAAACAAGTTGTTCGTGTTTGGGGAACAAGAAAAAAACAGCAGCATTCTCTGTGTGCACGGCGTGGGTCAACCGGGGATTGTAGAGGATTGACCACCAACGGCAATGACAACGTGAGGCTTCGTGATTCAATAAAGTCGTTCTCATCATCACAGCAATACAACCGCTCAAACAACAGAAGCAACAACAGCAGCAACAACAACAACAACAACAACAACAACAACAGCAACAGCAACCACAACAACAGCAGCAGCAGTAGCAGCAACAACAACATCCACAACATAAAACAACAACAGCATCCAGTAAGGCATACCTGCCACGCCTTGAACGATTCGATTGTGACCGGCGTGCCGTCAATCTGTCTTCTCCTCCGGATGGTCTCATCGTCTTCCTCGTCCTCCGCGCGTGCCTGAGCAGTTTTACAGCAAGCATCGCCATGACAGACAAGCAAGTTGCTATCGCACCAACCACGACAAAAGCAACCGTCACAGTGACAGCAGCAAGACAGCACCAGCAGCAACAGCGACAGCAGCAGCTACATCGACAGCAGCAACAGCACCAGCGCTGAAGAGCAGCGACCACCGCAAAAGGGAGAAACAGACGAAGCGGCAGCAGCAATGCAGCACCAGCACTCGAGAGAGGGAACAAACGTGTCATCGACGGCCAGCCCCAACAACACCCCCAACCACGACAGAGAAAAGGTAACGATCAAAGCATCAACCACAACAAGGCAACAGCAGTCCCAGTCACAATACAGCAGAGGCACAAGAGCAGCAACCACAGCAAAAGGCAACAGCAGTCACAGCAGTCAGCCGCAATACAGCAGTAGTACTCAAGACAAGCGTGTCATAGACAGCCCGGACCACAAGCACCTCCACGACAGACCGCAAGAGGCGGAGAGATAGCACCCCCCCTAGACCGACTTTCAAAGCTTTATTGCTCAACGACCAAGATTGTCTGTACCGTACCGTATGCCGTACCACGGTATGCCGTAAGAGGGGGAGATATGGCACCCCCCCTAGAGCGACTTTCAAAGCTCGATTGCTCCACGACCAAGATTGTCTGTACCGTACCGTATACCGTACCATGGTATTCCGTAAGAGGCGGAGAGATGGCATCCCCCCTAGAGCGACTTTCAAACCTTTATTGCTCGACAACCCAAGGGGGTGCGGAAAGAACCCGATACGTCTACCGAAATCCCTCCGCGAGATGCTTCCAAAACCACCATTATTTGTGTTGGCACAAGCTTGGATGTTTTAAGAACCCCCGTCATTTCGGGGTTTGGCACAGGCTTGGTCGTGGAGCGATTGAGCGTTGAAGGTCGGTCTTTTTAGGGGGGGGGGGGGTTCGACAAGGCTTTTTCCCCGCACCACCCCGCAGCACGACAACGCACCTTTGCCTCGGCCTCCTTGACTTGCTCCACCTTTCGTCTATCCCTGTCTCCCTCCGCCATCCTCCGAAGCATCTCCCCGTGCATCGACCTGCAGCGCTCCAATCATCCATGGGAAGGGCAACGACCGCCGAACGCGAAACAATAGCAATAATACAACGAGAACATCGTTTACATGAGAAACTGAACGCTAACGGAAAGCCCCTGATGGAACACCTTCCTTCTGTATGACCCCGGCTGGGACGGTAACGGTGGCGGTGGCGGTAACGGATGCGGGTCGGGGGCGGAGCGGCGGCGGGGTCAGGGTTAAATGCTTGCAGGAGAGGATAGGATAGGATAGGGTAGGGTAAGGTTGGATAGGAGAGGATAGGGTAGGAAACGGTAGGATTGGATGGGATAGGATAGAATGGGATAGGATGGGATAACCCCACCCGCCCACTGCGGAGGGGACGTCGTGGTCGAGGGTCAGGTTGGAATGCTCGAAGGGTAGGATAGGGTAGGATGGGATATGACAGGATGGGGTAGCGCAGGGTAGGATAGGGTCGGATAAGATAGGATAGGATATAGGATAGGATACGATGGGATAGGATAGGATAGGAAAAGGATAGGATGGGATAGGAGAGATTAGGATCGCCTCACCCGTCCACTGCTGAGGGGACGTTGTTGTCGGCGAGCCACTCCTTCAAGCTCTCGGCGATCGTGTAGCCCATCGCCATGCCGACGTTTTCCTCTGCCTGATTGCACGGGCAGGCAGGCAGGCAGGCAGGCAGGCAGGCAGGCAGGCAGGCAGGCAGGCAGGTACCCATAGCAGTCGCACAAGTATAACAAAAAAACGAGTGCGAGAAAACGGGAGCGAGAGAACGAAAGCGAAAGACAAGAGAGAGGCACAGAGAGACAGAGACAGAGACAAGACAGAAAGACAAGAGACACACAGAGAGAAAGAGAAAGAGAGAGGAAAAGCGAGAAAGAGAGGGCAGATAAATGAAAAAAGAGGACAGAGAGGAGAACAGCGCACAGTCATAAATACCACAACCGACACTAAAACTCCCACTCGAAAAAAACAAAATAAGAAACGCCGCGCAAAGTTGTGCGTACAACACACATTCAAAACATAATGGGCGAGAGAGAGAGAGCGAGAGCGAGAGAGCGAGAGCGAGAGAGCGAGAGAGAGAGAGCGAGAGAGAGACAGAGAGACAGAGAGAGGCAGACACACAGACAGGCAGAAACAGGGAGAGAGAGAGAGAGAGAGAGAGAGATCACCTGTGTCTGGGCCACGGCTTGGAGTTCCTCAATCTGCTTGGGCGTTAGGCCCTTCGTTGCCTCGACTTCCACTCCGGGGGCCTCATCGGGGTATCGTTCGGGGATTCGGCACGTGAAGTCGATTCCAACTGTTGGTGAAAATAACATAAAAAAGAAGAACAACAACAACAACAGATCGTCGTCGTACGGCAAGTGAAGTCGATTCCAATTGCGGGTGAGTGACAATGTGGAAGCAGAACAGCAACAAAATGTCGTCGAAAACGGCAGGCACGCCGCAACTGTATTCATCAAAACGCGTCAAACCCTTTCTCCACTGCAACACCCCGAAATGCCAACGCCAACGCAAACATGTACCATTTGCAATTAGCCCCCCTGGTGTCGAATGCTAACAGATCTGTGCCTCCCTTCTTTGGTGGTGTGACACAAGACAACAACAAATATCAC